TAATGGATGAAAAAGCTGCTTTAATCTCCGACCCCCGATAAGCAAAAGAGATGTTGCTTCTGAACTATCAAGGCTGTTCACACATCTTCGGTCCTCGACCTTATCACCAGTATCTCTCGAACCACCCCCCCGACGAGCATTCCTCCGTCATTTGATGGCACGTCGTTCAGATCTACATCATCATCGCAGAAAGGGTCAGAGCAGACGCGTCGGCTGGTGGAAGGAAGACTCTTCGAGGAGATTGAGGGCTGTACTCACCAGGATGTTGAGGGTTTCTTCAAAAAATATTTTGAAGGAAAAGACTGGAACACACGGGCAGATGATGCCACTCGCCGCGCGCTTGGCTCCGGAGCTGACAGTGGATGGTCGGGCTTCCCCGACCCGCCAACAGAGAAAGACGCCCTCGACTGGTGGTTTGGATTCCAGGACGAGTTCCTGCCGGATGCACCAAGCGTCTATTTCACCACGGCGAGCAAGAGCGACGGAGCGACAGATTGATCTCCTCCTCAGGGACCGAAACGCGAGTGACATCAGTGGAAAGCACAACTGGAAGGATATCCGGGTCGTCGGTGAGTTGAAAAAACCCAAGGATAAGATCAGGAGCAAAAGTGCGCTGCTGCAGATGGCGCGCTATGTGCGGGATGTAACGATGCCAATTCTATTCGACCTAACATACAAATAGAGCGCAATATACGAAGATTCAAAGCTGAAGAAGAAAGAAAAGGATGAAAGCTGCTACGCGAAGTGTTGCAGATAAACAAAGGAAGCCCTAAGGTCGTGCCCTAGTCCTTGTCCATATCTGGTAATGAGGTCAAAAGGTCGGCGCCGTCACACGGGAGGTCTTCAAGGCCCAGCCGACGCGTCGATTGTCCATGCGTTTGCAGTCTGTGGAATGAAGGCGGAGGCGTGGATATATCAGTGAAGACCCGAAGCATTTTTTTTTGGATGATCTTGGGCTACGCAATGATGACAGACGAGGAGCTGGGGCTGGATACCTTCATCACACGGGATGGTAGCGGTGCCAACAAGATCACTGTTGAGAGCATAAGTGGTGAGGAGACAGTTGTGCAGCTGAACCCGAAGCTGCTCAGCTATCAGAGCGCCATCATGTGTCAGGGTACATTGTACGGTTCGCCTACTGAGCTTTTGAAGTCCCTCCGCGACGCGATCAAGGCGCATCGGTGAGTTCGATTCCCTGCCCAGCGCCTGGTGGTTGCACCTCTGCAAGGCTGTATGTATCAACAGGGCTTAACCCTCATGTATAGACCTAATCAAAAACAATGTTATGCTGGACACGAGAAGAGGAATGCAATGGTTGTGATGATAATAATGGACAAAATCGTGGGGTGCGAGGTGCCATTTTTTACTGTGCCGACCTGGCAGAGTAGTGGTTGAACTGCTGCTTAACAAAGGAGAGGTGCTACATGAAGCTGGGGCCTAATCCCCGCCTGCTTGAGCATGCCAATCTCAGGATGGCTGCCTTGGAATAGAACATGACAATGACCAACACAGTATGCCCTTCTGACTGTGGACGTGCGGTGTGCAAGCATGATCTATGGAACCACATTGGCAGAGTGATACAAACAAAGGATGGACTTTCAGAAATTAGGGGCTTAGTCATTCCAAGGTTGCTTTAGAGCCCCTGGAGCCTAACCCAAACTCTAGAATGTCACGTGACATGGGAGCTCACCCCCTGCATTTGTTCTCGCAGAAGAGCAAACAACAAGGCTGCAAAAAACATGGGTTCAGATGCTTACAACATTCTCAGTTCTTCTTGCCAGCTTCTCCCACAAATATTTTGGTCTCTAGAATCATCCAATTATGGATCAAATCACAAAGCACAGAGTTGATCAAGCTGCAGAGGAGCTTATAGCTTCCATTGATCCTTCAAAAGTCTGTAAGCTGGCCACATCCTTTCATCCTGCCAAAAGTCCCTGTCGTATCTTTTCGGACTGGAAAAAGGGTGGCTTTAACGTCTGCTTTCCTGTGATCTTTAACCAGGATGCTGAGAGCGTGGAAGGTGAGAAGTGGATGGTCAGGATTCCTCTTCTCCCCCGACTAGCATTTCCGGAGGAGAAGATGCGCGGCGAAATTGCAACCATGAAGTAGGCGGGCCCCCTCCCAGGTGTTTCGTGGAAATTGATGGTAGAACTACAAGTGAAGCTAACATCAACTAGGTATATTGCAGAGAAGACCACCATTCCCATTCCTCGTCTCCACGGCTACTCCATACACGGCGATGACAACGTCCTCGGCCTTCCATTTATGCTTATGGAGTATACTGAAGGGAAGACATTGGCTGGTGTTGTGCTTCCAGATCTTGAGAAAAGTACAAGAGAACATTTGTACACCCAACTCGCTGATGTCTATATCCAACTCTATCACCAACAATTCGACCGAATCGGAGCTCTCACTCTGGATGAGAATGATGAGAACTGGATATTTGCCAACAACCGACCTCTATCAGTCGATATCAATGACCAAGAGGTCGGTGGTTTTGACTTTTGTTCGCGTTTTCTGCCTCCTCAGCAGACATTCACCTCCGCAATCGATTATGTCTACCTGATTTTCAGACTCATCTACAACGACTACTCCCGATGCCCGGATTCAATAATGGGGGAAGAGGATGCGCAACATTATCGATACAGTATTTGGGCTGGTCAGGGTGTTGTGATGAACTGGGTTAAACCAAAGTACAACCATGGCCCTTTTATTTTGATGCATGGCGATCTCCGCCCGCCCAATATTGTTGTTGATGACAACTTCAACATTACTTCTATTCTGGATTGGGAGTGGAGTCATACTCTCCCGGTTCAGTTGTTTGCGGTTCCCCCTTACTGGCTCACCAACCTCCAGGTGGTGCAAATTGCCGAGCCCTTGCTCGCTTTCCCATTTATGATCGCAGCTCGAGACTTCATTAACTCCGTGTGTGAGCATGTGCACACTTCATACAACCCTCACCGACGACTGCGATCAGAGCTTCCCGTGGTGAAGGTCTGGCGCCAGCAGGCATACGAGGACCAAGCTATTGCTCACGGACTTTTGAAACCTCACTCCTTCGGAAATGTCTACTGCCATGCTCTAGATTCCCGCTACTATGATTGGGACCGTAATCAGAGAGTGGAAGCATTTTTTAAATTGACTATTTGGCAACCTGAGCTTGACATTTTGAAGCAAAAGGTAGTCGAATTGGCATGCTTTGAAAAAAAGAGACAAGAGTTGGGAGTACAACAACGTGTGACTTTCTCGAGTCCAACTTTAACGCCAGAACAGGAAGCCAAGCTGGGGTTGAAGGACCCGGGCGAAAAAGCCGAGAAGGTCTTTGGGGATGGAGACGAAACGGAGGGTGATCTCTTCGCAAGAGTTGAAAGTGAAGTCCGAAGAAAAGGGGAGCTGAAAGCTGAGCTCGAAAGACCACACACGCGGTGGCCGCTTATCGCGATTGGCACAATATGTCTAGTGTACCTGGTCAGCAGGGATCGGAGGAATTGAGTTGTATACACTACCTCGTGGATTTACTATGGACCACTGAGTAATTCAATCGTGCTTCGCACAACCTCTACCTCAGCTTGGATTCTGGCCACTTCTGTCATCTGGTCTTGAACCTGTTGCGCCACCGTCTTGCCGCTAGTCTGTACTGCACGGGCCGCTTGAACCTCCCTGGCACTCGTGTTCAGCTGTTGTATTACTCGTGCCTGAGCCTGAAGTTCCTGCATGTAGGATAGCGCCTGGACCTCTTCTTGTTCCAGCAGCGCGAGTCGTTGTTTTTTGGCCTGCAGCTCGGCTTGGATGCCTTGAGAAAGACTCTGCTCGTTGGGGGGAGCCATTTTATGTAGATGGATCCTCGGCTTTGGGGATACGGTAGGGAGATCAGGAGCTTGATTGATCAGAAATAGATCTTTCGGGCATTTGCTTGCTGTTTAATTCTAAAATTCAAAGGATGGAGGGGGGAACGACACGAGGTTTATATAGCCTTGTAGCACTCCCTCCCAGTTCAAGAAAGTAAAGAGATGCAGCGAGGCTGAGATCCTTGATCTGCCCCTCTTGCCAGTACATCGCCTAATGCATGTACTTGCAGGCGACGGTTGCCTGATTTGGCATTTTTCGTGTGGAAGCAACCCTTTGAGGCCAATGGCTCTGGGATGAGCCAAGGGAAGTCTGGTATTTGCTTTTCTTTTTGCGCAGTTCAGTGAGTCAGGATTTAAGTACCAATCAGTCCTTCCAGCCCTAGGAAGATGTGTGATAGATCCAAGGCACTTGCAAGCAGATAGTGTCTTTGACCACCTACACGTTAGTTACCACGTACCCGTTATTATCCTCCACCAGCTACCCAACGCCTTAAGATCTTGACTTTTTATATATCTCGGAGGGAGTACTCATATTATCTAAGCTCTGGAATAAAAAAATATTAATCATATCTATCCTAGGAGTGGTGGAATTTGGGGTGGGAAAAACCAGTCAACAATCAAGAGAATGGACCAACGGGTACGTGGTAACTAACGTGTAGGTGGTCAAAGACACTAACATGGATATGCTTCCTCCGCAAACCACACCTCTTCCCCATATCATCCCCTGCATGATATCCGAGACGCCTCTTAATCTACCCGCGAACTACGCTTCTTCCACCCTGAATCTTACCTCTGATGGAATTCTCGTTATCCAGGAGGTGTCTACTGAGATAACCGAGCGCAAATCAGAAGAATCATGCACCCTGAACTATTCCTGGTGTCTGCTGTCAGATGGTACCAATGGGGATGGACATGGTAAGGACTGGTTGTTACGCCAGCGGTTTATGTTCCACTGTTATCAATAGCATTGGAGAATTAGTGTTCACGTTGTATGGAATTTTGAGATCCCGGCACCGGCTGGACCTGCTGATGAAGCGAGCGAGGTATTTTACAGTGGAACCGTCATGCTTCCGGGAATGGATGCAGTATAACCTCCCGATGGGCACATTACATTGATCACATTCTCTTGCTTTCCTTCGTTAATTATTGGACCACCACATACGTTACCTCTTCGCGGATGATTATCAGGCACGGGTCCTGGCTTAGCTTTACATTATTCCTTTTCTTTCATTTGTTTCTTTACACCCTAAGATTCGTGAATCGAACATGCCGCACCGTTATTTCCTAGCTTCAATGCCTCCTGCTTTCAAAGCTCAAGCCATTAATCAGTACATAAATAGTCAAAGATGCCTGCCCGGTTGTCTCTTCATGTTTCAATCTAGCTTTGCCTCCACGATCGAGCTCCTGAACAAACCTCCTCACTGAGCTGCGGCTTATTGAACATTTGAACACGACTCACTGAGATCATGGTAAGGAGTAGTCTCATAGCTGACCACCAATGCTAATGAGACTTAGGCATCTCCGCCTAGTACCGAAATCAACCAAATTTCTCCGATTGAGGGGCACTGGTTCCGTATCCGTTGGCCGCCATGCCGCCAACGAGTGATAGACCTGGAACCTAGCAAAGAACGCGACGCCCTGGAAGATTTCATCGCCGACGCCGGGTTTGGCAATCGCAGGGCTCCAGCAATTTGCAATATGAGATGCCAGTAGTATGAGATTTTCGTTTGTAGCATGTCAGCGGCATGCTTTAAGATTGTGATCTCCCGCGTGAAGGAGCACCTTGGAGGTGATATTCCAGTAGCTGTGCAAGGCGTCTGCAGCTACACCGTCTACGCTGGCCCTAAGAGTGACTTCGTCGCTCAGTTTCGTCTCAAGTTTCTTCAGCTGACTAATGAAGAGGATTTTTTTGAGGGGAAGCTGCTGCGACGGAAATCCTCACAGGCGGATTCCTCTTGTGAGGATTTAGCTCATTACTTGGGCGACACATGAGCAGTTTAGCTTCAAGAGGGCCAACCATCTTCACCTGATGAGCAGTGCTGCTGGAGCAACACGCACCGCTGCCGTAGAGCATTCAGTGTCCGGTGCGGGAACCGTCTCTCGATGTCCGGCCAGTCGTCATCCGCGTTTCTCATACGACGAAGGCGCACGTCCTCATTTTCAGTCCACCTCCTCTTATTCCCAGCGCTCGGCCGCCCGGCTTTGCCTGCGGCCCCCGGAGGCGGGCGCACCAGAAGGCCGTACAGCTGGGATGCGACAGCGAAGCTCCAGGGATGCAAGGTCGAAGATGAGTTTATAGCCGAATCAAACACTGCTCAGTGTCATCTGGATCGTCTGTTTGGGAGCCTCAAAGTGCGAAGAACCGGAAGCTGGTACGCTCACGTCAAGCTTCTTCAAGGGGCATGAGGTGGCGGAAGTCAAGTATCAAGTCCCCACGCAAGAAAACGATGACCGAACGGGTGATGGGAACGTAAGTCTGGTTGGCTACACGAGAATCATGGACGACAGTACTTTCATGGAACAAAATTGTATACTAGCTTTAATAAATACACCATCTACTGCTGTTTCCGCGCCTTTCTTAACCTGTTCGCACTCTTTGGCCCTCCTTCACCCTTCTTCAGCGGTAGATGTCTCGCCTCCTCCACTTGGGCGGAAGGAAACTCTTCGGCGGGTTCCCAGGTGGGGTGCCACGCAACACGTACCCACGGCTTTCCATTCCTCAGCTCATATCCGACAAGGCCTCGGTAGTCCCAACGCCGGGTCGCTTGAGCAGCTGGAGCACGGCGACTGTTGGTGCCCTGATGCTTCACTATCGAAGATTGAGGCACTGTCTTTTCCCGCCTTTTTCCAGGTCTCGGGGAGGCGGTTATGTCAACAACCTCAATAATGTCAAGGTAATCTTCGTGCTGGTATGGGCGGCGGCGGCGTTTCGACGGAAGGCTGGCACCGCCGATGTCTGATTCACACTCATTCTTACATACCATCTCATCCCATCCCATCGACCAACTTCTGATTATCATCCGTGCCCAGTCGTTGAGGACTGGACGACACACTGTCTCTCTCTCTCTCTCTCTTTTTTTTACCCCGCCTCCCCCTTCCTCCCTCTTCCTCCTCCTTCCCACTCCCCGTACTTTGAAAACACATCAGAGAATCCGTAAGATGCACCCGCTCTGCTTGCCGGGAAATAGGCCTAACATGAGAGCAAACAGATTCAGGAGAGCGGGTACATCCATGCTCGGTCCGCGGGTGTGAAGCAGTATTCTACAGAACAGATAATTTGAAGAGGCACTTGATAGTCTGTGAGAGAAGCATCTACCTCCTCTTCAAGAAAGAGGGCTGACATGAAAGCAAACAGATTCAAAACAGCGGGTACATCCATGCTCGGTCCGCGGGTGTGAAGCAGTATTCTACAGAACAGATAATTTGAAGAGGCACTTGATAGTCCGTGAGAGAAGCATCTACCTCCTCTTCAAGAAAGAGGGCTGACATGAAAGCAAACAGATTCAAAACAGCGGGTATATGCGTGCCCGGTTCCCGGGTGCGAAACAGCGTTCAGTAGAGAGCATTTGAAGAGGCACTTGGCAGAGAAGCACCTACCTCCTTCTTCAAGGAAATAGGGCTGACATGAGAGCACACAGATTCGGATTGTCGACCACATGTGTGTTAGTGCGGAAGAAAATACAAAAAGAAGTCTGGTCTGAGGTCGCATCAGAGATTCGCTTGTTTACATTGGGCCTGGCGGCATATGAATCCCCTTCAACCTCCACCAGCGCCAGAGGAGGACGGTATACAGTTAGCTTCCTAGCAGCGAAATTTTATCATGTACAGAGCCAATGGGAAGGCATCCAGGCTCTCTCATGGGGGAGAGGAGGAGCAGGCTCATACAGGCAGTTTGTAATCATCCTGATACATGAATTCAAAAGTTTGAGTTATTATAGCTGCCTGTCCGAGCTCAGGAAATGATCACCACAAGAAGCAAGGTGAAGAGAAAAAGGGAGAAATATTGGAATTTCTATCTAGTCGAGGCCCGTGCGAGATGAATATAAGAAGGCTGCCTCCCCAAATACCACTGCCCAATTAGCTCTATCTTTTTTTCCTGATGATTGCGTTCCCACATGCTGAGGAGGGTCAGCTAACATGGAAGAAGGTACGGGTAAGTGGGACAATCCAATCTCGGGGAGTATAAGGCTTACGTCCAAAGAAGAAGCATTCGCCGTCAATCCCGGGTACAATAATGGAGTGTTTCCACAAAACATGTCCATGCAAGGCCCATATTATGCTGGATACATAGCGCCCGGGCAGGGTGCGCGATGGTCCCCCCCAGGGCTAGAAGCGTGGCCAAGGGAGGGGCCACCATCTGGAACTCCCAACGCTGTCGTCGGGTGGCCTGCGACCACGAATGATTCCTATGTGGCCGTTGTGAGGGGCGACCACCTAGGAAATACTGGGACGGTGAGGAGACGATGGCATAGTACAATCAAGAAGGGGAAGGGGATGCCTTGTGCTTCGGTATGGTTTCTTCCAGCTTCAGTTTCGCAGCTCTCACCATCCAAAAAGTCCACAAACACCCATATTCGGCCCTGCCCATTGGCCACTTTGTGCTCTCCCAGATTGATGTTTGAAAGCGGAATCTGAAATAAATTATGAGCAAGCAGCCCTTGCTCAGAGAGCACATGACGCCGACTACTTAACTTATCACCAAAGACGCCTCAATCATAGTTATTTATCTAAGGCTCCGCCGATGATGCCCCTGATCGGCCCGGAATAACTATTTCTCGGGGCTATCCGTGAAGTCCGAAGGGTTTGGCTCGTAGTTCTTTACACTCTCTAATAGTTTCGCAGCCTTCGCTGCCCCGAGACGCTCGAGAAGACGCAGCGAGTCGCATACACGTGAAACAATCTTTTTGTCAATGGTGTCGACAGTGTCAAGTGTCGCCTCTGCATTTTGTCGATCCTATAGATGAATATAAGTGATGTAGCAGCAATGAACGGGGAATGACTCACCGAGAATATAATTGAATAAACACTCATATTGTAGGCAAGCATAGACAAGGTAGCAGATGACAGCCAAATCAGGAACAAAGTAGTTGCCTATGTTGCAGAATTTAAAAGATGGACAGCGGAATAAGTCGAGAATGAGGAACAAAACAGAGTCTTGAACTAAGAAGCAAATGGAATTCCAACGAAGGGTTTGCTCCCCGCCTCGAAATGCGATGAGGTCAGGTACCTGACAAAGCTAAGAGTCCAAGGCCACGATAAACATGGCCTTCGAAACAGAAACACCACGATTTAAAAATGTGGCCGTGGCCAGAACCTATTTAGGCGCGCAGTCCTTTTTTGCTTTGCAATCTCTGCTTGGAACCCTGCATGTCTGTTTCGTGCCTGCGCGTGTATTTGTCCATGAAATGGCACGCACCACCAACTCGACACGGCCACCATTCTTGGCTCCTGTCAGAAGTTCATTCAATCAAAGATATGTGAGGTGACATCACCCATCAGAAATAGCGTGCACTTCTGATTAGTGTGGCGGGCTGCAACACCTAAATGATATTGTGAATTATTAGTTGGTTGGTTCAGTCCATTCCTTGTCGGACAGGAAAGATGGGTGAACTGAAGAAGCTGATTGAATTCCATGAGTGTAGCCGCCCGCCTGGAACCGTGATTTGCTTTGGGTCGTCAGGGACCTGGCGCCAAGCCGGGGATAAATCTATCGATCCACCTCTGGTTGGGAGGATCCAAAACAGGAACACAGGAGTCTATTTTAGGCGCCCAACCTTTTTTCAAAGGCGAGCGAGTTGAAGAGTCTGGGCTTATGTAATGAGCGATGGTGGATGAGGGTTTACGCTCCAATTCAGGAAGCAGAAAACTTGACCTCGCTAAGTGCGCCACTTGACCTCATTATGTAAGCTGACCTCACAAATGTGGCCTGTGCTACTAACCCAACCTCGCACAATACATCTTTTCTTGTAATTTGAAATCACTCTTTCTTTCTTAATTATTTATCATCAATTCTACAATCAATTTTTAATTAATTGTAGAACAATTCTTTTCTCTTATTATAATCTTCATATATAGAGAAGACTTTACTAATCTTATTAATAATTACAATTCTTCTTTTAATACTGAGATTATTCTTATTATTATTATTATTATTATTATTCTTCCATTATACTCATATGCAAGCGGAGCTTATGATGAGTCCTTGCGTGATGTTAAATACAGGCCAAGTGTTGGTTATACAGGAGGAAATACAGGTGTTGAGACCACGCCAAGATAACAAGAACATAGGAAATACAAAGGAGTGACAATTAGATACATGCGATAATAACTTCCCAGCCCAGGAACATAGAGCGATTTTATTGGAGTGATTTGTACACCTCTGTATTTATTAGGAACCTGAGGTGCTTGGGTTCCGGATTTAATGTATCCCCTGCGGGTTTCGAACCCACACGCCTTGGTTTCCCACGCCAAGGCGCTACCGGGTGGCCGCATTAACCATTCAGCCACCGGGGCTGAGATTATTCTTGAATCTGATAATAAGATAAGTATTTACATAATTTACACTGAATTGATTGTTAACTGATTTTCAATTGATTGCTAATTACTTAAATATACAGATTAAGTCTGTTCTTATCTCTCTAACTAATACAACTGTCTATTCAATATATATCTCTAAAGTAGAGTACAGTCATGATTAGACTGATCACTGAAATTATGAATTTCATGTTTGATTTCATTTAGTCTGGTCTCATACATTTCTTGGCGTGAATCCCGCTGGGACTGGCTATCAAAAAAACAGGTAAAGTAACTATATACCAGATCTTAAAATGAAACTATGACTTGAAAAAAATGAGAAAGTGGTCTCATTTAATCTCATTTAGTCTCATTCTTGGCATAAAGTTACTATTTTTAGACATTTTAAGGTTTTTTTTAGACTATTTTTAATTTTTTAAAAAGTAACACTTTTTGATAATGCTTAAATGAGATTTAAAGTCATTTAAAGCAATAAAAATAATTTAAATTGAGAAGTGGAAATCATGATCTCATTTGAAAAATGTGACAAGAGTAGACAGTAAGTCTCACTGAAACAGTATGAGACTACTATCTAATGTTAAAACTGTGTAATGAAATCAGTTGAATTGATAATGAGACTATTAAAAAATCTGATCCTGGTCTCAGACACAGTTACACGGTCAGTCTAGTCATGATCTGCCTGAGTATTCTAAGACTTATATATAAAAATATACATATGTAATATTAACTGAGTCTTTAAATATTGAGAAAATGACATAAATAATGAATAATGTAGATAATCTAAATTAATTCTTAATTAATTAATAATTAACTAATAATTGATTCAGATTCAGTATGAAAAAAGTTCTATTCACTTATTTAAAGAAATATATTACTCTTTTCTTCATTTTAAAGTGAAGAAGTATAAGTTCAAATACACTGATATCAAAGTCTGTCAATATTTAGATTAAAATTTATATTTTACATCTTATAATAAGATTATAGAGAAAATATGAATAAATATTTAATAACTGTAGAAGAGTATTCAGTTGATTGAGAATAATCAGAGAAAACACAATACTGTTAGATATGAATTGATTATTAATTAATTAAGAACTGATTGAGAGTTGATTAATAATTAATTTCTTAACTTTACATAGATGATTCAAGTGCTGTTTTAAGAAGAAACTTTCTATATATAATTTACAGAAATCTGTGTATCTGTCTTTTATCAACATGAGATTTCTATATAATTTATTTAGCTCTCAATTAATTGATAACTGATTACTAATTAATTAGCAGAATGTCACTGAATATCATACTTCATTTATTTCTTATATGAATTCTTTCAAGATAAATTATATTCATCACTTCTTTCAATCAGTATAAGAAGTTACATAGATGAACATTGAATTTCTTAAAAGAATCTTGCAAGAAAATCTTTTTTTCATGAAGAAGAAATATGAAGTTATAAAATAATCAAGAAGTATAAGAAAGTTTTATAATAAGCAATTCTCAATTGATTCTCAATTGATTCTCAATTAATTGATAATTAATTATTAGAATTTAATCATTCTGCTGATTAGAGAATAATGCAGAAATTATCTTATAATATTATTTTTCATATTATGATTTCAGTGAATTTAACAAACTGTTCTGATATACTGTTTATCTCTTATGA